AGTTGCAGCTAACTGCTAACAAACTAACAACAGCTACACCGAGCAGCTCACGGATCATGTGATCTGCTCCGACACAAACGACAAGCGAACGGTGAGTAACGTTTAAAATGAACAAAGTTTTCTGCATGAAATTTATACTGCACTCTTTACTTTAAATACAGTATTCAACGTTTATTTCTGTTTCATTTACCATTTGTTATACTGGTATTATATAGAAAACAATAGCGTTACTCGATTAACACACGGGCTTACTTGTATTACCCATGGTTGACCGCAGAAGGGCGCCAACAAGCTGCCATTCGTCGATATATTTGTCTAAAGGAGAGGTGCACAAATAAACGTTGAAGTTCAGTTTCTGTTACAACATATTTATAGACTTATTAGCTTTTATAAAAATAAATAAATATAACGATTCTATGCCAAATTAAACGTCGTGGTGCTAATTTTACATATTTAAGCACGCAGTGTGCTGACCTCTCACTGGTGACTATCGTCTCATTTGCATTTTTATGATTTTGAGGCTCATAATCAATTTGTGTATAATGTGGCTTTTCTGGGAAAAGAAATCGATGGTGTTGCCTTGAAATAAGTTGTTCTGAATGCTTTTGAAATTGCATTGTAGGCCTTCCTGTCAAATGGACACAGAAGACATTTTGTAAGGCTGCGGTGAACTGTGTTACGCTGCAAAGATTTCCTGGACTAGCCCATCTGTCTTGTCCATCATGGTAGTGCTGTGGTTTCTGTTGCAATGCTGCCTAAGGGTTTAAAGCTCAAGCACACACACTGTTTTTAAATTGACACACAAATCTTTCGCTAGGTTCAGCACAGGCTGGTGAGCTAGAGTCCATTCTTTCTTGCAAAGAGAGAGCCTTTGGTGAATTTGGTGAGTTTTAGTACCGTAACCCGTTACCAGTTGCATTATTTATTAAGAAATAAATACAAACAGTCTTATTTGTTTAGACTCGGTGGTCTTACTCTACCACTGTCCCAGACATTTTTGAATGTGTTACAGTTGTTTTTTGCATTCATTTGTTTGTTATTTTTAACAAGTAGTAATGCATTTGTCAATAAATAATATGATTGAGCTTGTTTGTATGCTAAAGAAATAGCTGTAAATTACGGTGAGTTTCGCTTTTGTAGTTTTTTTTTTTTCAATCTTTCTGGGCTTCTTAGTGTAAAATGCCCTACATAATGGCTATCCAGACATGCAAATCAAATTATACACAGTGTTAGAAAAAAAAGTTTTATTGTCGCATACAGTAATATCATATGTAAGCACAAATTTACAGCAGTTACACACTGGTGTTTTTCATGATATTTAAAACTAACTAGCCTTCAAAAAAGTTACTCACCAATAACTGAATCTAGGCAATAATTTCCCTAAGAATTCACATTTTATGTTATGAGATTTTTGATTCAGCCATGGACTATTGCATACAACACCAAGACTAAGCACAATACTGTTGAACATGACTAACAAAGTTAGCGCTCCCACCTGTTCCTGAGTTCTGAGTTATGGAAAAGGTCAAAGACCAGGGCAGAAAAGACACCGGGAGATGAATGTGTTTATGTAGCAGTGAGGAGGCAGAGAGAACACGCATGCAGTTGTTGAACATAACCTGTGACAGACCATGTGGACCGATGTCCCGAGGCACTGTGGAAGGCCGCTGGGAAGCCTCACATTGCAGGAAAGACTGTACTAATGACATCAGGAAACGGGAATCGTTGACACGTGTCATGTCGTGAAAAATTTGAAGTCGTTGATCTACAGCGTAGATTCCTAAAAGATAGGGTTGACGTCGTCCTGACAGGGCCCTGAAGTCAGCACCACGTTGTCCAGACCTATCTCCCCACCAATACCTGCCCCGCGCTGAGCTTCAAAGAAGATCTGAAAGACATGCAGTGGAGCCGCCGCAGGTTTAGTCTGTGTGTGATCCACATGACAGGACTACTGTTCTACTTTTGAAAGATTTATTATTATTATTATTATTATTATTAGATTTCCGCTCTCATTTACTAAAAGAAGACACACTAAAAAATAACAGTACTTTAGTGACTTTAAAAAACTAAAAAAGCCTCTAGAATAACAGTACTTTAGTGACTTTAAAAATCTAAAGTGCCTCTAAAAAGTAAACAACATTGACACTTCTTTAAAATGTGGCCGACATTCTGAATGTCAAATATGGGCCACTAAAGATCAAATAGCTGGAGTTTAATCACAACTTTTCTCTTTTTAGTGGAGCAGAAGTTGATGATGTTTGAGATCATCAGGGTCCAGCTTTGGTTTAGGATTGACATAATGGATGCTTTATATACAGTAGTCAACTAAAGGCATATACTGTTATAGTGCAATCGTTATGTGGGAAGATAAAATATTTTTTCAGTCAATCCATATATAAAATGACTCACTGATTCCGGTGCCTCATCTTTCCAGGCCACAGTGACGAGCTCCGTCTGCCATCCTTGGTCTCTGCTGCGGCTCTGCTCCCACACTGGGTAAGCATTGTTGTCCAGCAGCACTCTCAGACTGCCCACATTGTGTCCGATCACGCGGTAGTCAAAGGTGAGGCAGAAGCTTCCCTGCTGGACCCGGTCATTGAGAAGCAACTTAATTCTGGCCACGTCATTCCTCTCCCCCAGGAGACCATTCATAGCCATGTAGTACTGCAAACCTGAAAAAACCCCATTATTGCTTTAATGCATCTTTACAAAAGTAGCAAACTCCACTATAATTTGCTTTCTTTAATCACTTGAGTACCAGTGTCATGGTAGGACACACTCCAGTCCATGTCATCAGACTTGTCCTGCACCCACTCACATGCCCCCTGGTCAAAATTACAATCCATGATAAACTCTACAAGGTAAAAAAAAAATCATTAGATCATTAGATAATAAAGTAATATTATTACAAATAGTGACTCTTAATATGTCACGTTACCATCCTGCACTGGTGTTATTTGTAGTTCTTTAAGTTCTGTGGCTGGACCAAATACTGACTCAAAGTCTTCTGTTGCTGTAGAGAGAAATGAAAGGTTGAATTAATCAGCGTGAATCCATTTATACTTGTAAAAACATTGTGCCATTTCTAAGCAGTAACATATAATCAGTAGGTAGACACAGCTGTACCGGGAGGACACCAGAAACTCCTTCAGGATGTTAGTAAAGAATTAAATAAAGAAAATAGAAATTCCCTCATGAAACAAAAGCCAGGGAGGGGGCTTTTACCTAACGAGTACAGACCTGCTCTGCTGCCACTCAGGTCTTCCGGTAGACCTACAACTTCAGGATACCCCATCTCCCACTCCTCAGCCCCCCAGCACTTTAAAGCTCTCACAGAAAACCTCCATCACGAGCAGTATTGGAGAGTCAAGAGCAGTGACAGCTGGGGGTTATTTAACCCCAGCACCGTGGAGAGGTCTCGGAGTGCTGATGACAGACTCCTTCTCTAGCAGTCAAGTCTGTTTGCACAACAGCTGTTTTGGGGGAAAACATAATAAAAGGCTTGGGGGCTTCCAAACCACCCTGTGCTCCTCCTTCCCTCCCTTTCCTTTCCCTCCTCCCAGGAGGGATGTAGGGCGAGGATGACTTGTATCCTTGGGCTCTCACATACCGATAAAGTAACATTCCTCCCTGAAGGTAATGGATGTCTTGGGACCTGTCTACTCTTGCTGCTTCTTTTACAGACTCTTATCTGTGTCTCCATAAAGATCAAGACTAATCCTAACCACATGTATAAGGTGTTTCAGTGAGGTGCACGCCAACAAAAATCAACACCATCAACAAATCTTCATCTAAATCATATAAAAGTTAACCCTAGAAACTGAGCACAAACACTTTTTTTTTACAAATGTATGATTGCCTGTTAAATGTGTGTTTATTTGTGGTGATCTTGTCCTCTGTTTGTATTTTCTATTTTCTAGTCTTTTCAGAGGAGGGTGGTTGTCTCTCAGTTGGTTTTAACAGTGGAACATTGACACAGTGGGCGGCAGTAGTGCCACTAAAAGAACGTCAGCTGCTGGTAAAATCCAAAGAAGAGTGAACTGTGGAGGGGCTAGATTCAACCCACAGAAAGTAATGAACAATTACTTGGAATCTTTGAGTAAAACCATTTATGGTTCATAAAGCAGGATTTCTTTACTGCATTTGTAGCACCCTCTGCTGTAAATAGAGGGTCTCTACTTCCTGTTTTTTATCAACAGGAAAAAATGCCCACATAATGAGAATAGAAGAAACTTGAGGTTGCTGGGAGACATGAAACTAAAGCTTATACTTGACCTTTTGATTTAAACTAATTTCAACTGCCTCTTGGAAAATGGATAATTGTTTTCATATGCTGCATCACTGAGAACACTACCATCAGACTGTTGGTCTGTGTGGGACTAATGCTCCACAGACCACCCTGTATAATAGGAACAGACTTTATTGAAGAGCAGCCAAACTTAACTGAAAACGTCTCCCCTCGGGTTGAGATGGTTGTCTTCCTCTTCCTCCTCTTCTTCTTCCTCTTCCTCCTCAGGAAATTCCTCCCCTGGCACGGTCTCCGTCTCGCTGCCGATGTAGACCTCTCCGTCATAGTCAAAGGGCTGCTTGCGGGTCTTGGGGGAGATCGTTGCAACTGGTTCAGGGATTGTGTTTTTGATTTCCTCGTTTTCCAGTTTCCCTCCCAGAGAGTCTGGCTTCAGTTGGGAGTCTGGGATGACTACATGAAGGTAGAGGGTGAAGGTTAGACAGGTGGTACTGCAATCAAACGTGGAAAACATGTTGTTTTACCAGGTGTTAGACGTATTTGTTGTTTGTTTATCGTGAACTTCTGCAGCTGCGGCCCTTGTTAATCGCCATATTGCAGGTATTTACTGGTTCAAGGTCGGGCTCGGTGTAATGAACGTGTTCAAACAACATCCTGGTACATGCAGATGCACAGCTAACATCCAGTGCTTGAAAGGTGTTATGCAGGAGTAGAATTTCATATACAGTTGATATCAGTGTATAGAAGCTTTGCATGGACTAAAAATTTGGGCCTAATTTTTAACATTAATACATGCCTAATAATGCACAAAGACAAAATATAAAAAGTGAGGAAAATAGCTCTAATAAATTAAACCATAAGCATTATATTATCAGCCATTAGAAAGCATAAGTTAGGGCTGGTGTTTAAACAGAATAAGAAAATGCATTTTAGGAGGAGGAGGTTAGAGGGCAGTGCAGCGCAGGAAGCCCATTCTGCGATTCCACACTCTCACCGTTGAGGAAATCCTCCACACTTCCTTTGCCACCATTCCATGGCCTTTGATAGAATGGCTTGACTACAGAAACATAAAGGCAGCTTCATTGACACTCAGACTGATCTGTGATCAGTTACACCTGTTCCATCTGGGCCAGGTTCAGAGAGTACACAGAGTAGTCTAGTTTCCCCTGCCTGGCCGCTGGCTGACAACCAGACAGCGTCATATTTACACAGGTGTGTTTTTAATCTGGTGCACACCATTGCTTACATCTGTAAAGGGAAGTGAAGTCTGAGAGAGGAAGCTACGCTTGGCAGACGCTTCGTTTTCTGACGTCTGAATCGAATGAAATATGTGGCTATAAAAAAAAAACAATAAAAAAACAAACTCCTGGCCCAGTGGACGGCCTGTGTCTATCTGATCAGACTGGTACAGAGACTGTGTTTCTGTACTGATTAGATAAGATTCCATTTTTTTTTTATGAAATGGTTCTCGTCTCTCACCAGAGCACTCGTGGCCGTTTCCTCTGAAGCCAGGTTTGCACCTGCACTTGTAGGATCCCTGAGTGTTCAGACACACGGCGTGGTGGCTGCACTTGTGTGTGCCGGCTATACACTCGTCATTGTCTGGGATGTAAAAAATAACTGCTGTTACTTCAGATTCAGAGTTATCACAAACGAGTACTTCACCCTGAAGCGTGTATACCTTACCTACGCAGTCGTATTTGCCATCAACGTACTTCAGATCGAAGCCGTCCTGGCACTTGCAGAAGTAGCTGCCGAATGTGTTCACACACTGCCTGTTGTACGGACACAGGTTCTTCCCAGTTACACATTCATCGATGTCTAAAAAGGAAAACGAATATTGGGCTCCATCACATGCTGGTGCTTCATTACAAAAGAAAATCAAAACAAAAATGCAGTATATATTAAAATGATCACATTCATGTCCATCTGTCTTCAGTTGAAGACTTTGACATGACAAGTGTTTATTTTCGTTGGTTTATTTCCACTAGCATTAGTCCTTGACACCTTCTGCCGACTATTGTTTCTGCTGGGCTGTAGCCAATCATGTGCTTCCTTTAATTCAATGTAACGGCCGTCTCTTTCATCTGTCAGGCCTTGAGGAAGCTTCTCCCAAAACACAGTGTTTTTTTTTAATTCTTTGTGTTTCTCACAGTTTAAATATTCAAAACAGATCTGGATCTGTTGGACGTCTGTTTATTAAATTCATCAGAGAAGGTCAGTGTGGACGTTAAAACTGCTGCTGTGGACAGACATTGATGTTAGTCTCACGTCTCATGGCGGTCTTTTTCGTGTCTGCTACGTTACAGCGCAACGTGTCTGCAAAAATGTACATGTTGGAACGATTGTGCCTCACATCTGTTTCTTGACTTTGTTGGATCGACAGCAGTAATGAAAGAATACGGTTCTCTAAACCATTTAAAGACTTCCTTTTGTTATTATTAAGTCCACTTGGTTCTGGTGGAGTGCAAACAAGATGATTGGAACACAGTTTGACTGTGGCGTGACTGTGGAACTAATGTTTGATGGCAGCAAAATAAAATTGATTGTAATCAAATAATTATATTTATTGGTAATGATCTGCACAGGTTTGTCATGGGAGATATTAAATAATGCAGTAAAGAACTCCATGTTCTGGCTCACCAACACACGTCCTCTGATCTTGGCCCAGCTGCAGCCCTGAAGATGGGCACAGGCATCGGATCTCGCCCTGAACTTCCTCACATCCGTACTGACAGTGAGCGACAGAACACGTCCTGGAATCTGCACGTATTTGCACAAAGAGGAAGTTAACACAATGTGAGCAGACGCATTGTTTTACATGATTTCAGGGAGACCCTCACCGGCACAGGAGCCGTCCGACATCAAGGTGTAACCGTTCAGACAGTAACATTTGTAACTTCCATACGTGTTCATGCAGCGATGCTCACAGGGTCGAGGTTTCAGGCCACACTCGTTCAAATCTAGACGCCAAGAGTTGCAGTCACATCTTTTTTCAAAACATTGGATTTGAAAAATGAAAGAAGCGATTGTGGTGGATTTTAGGCTGGAAATCAGATCTGGCTGTGCTGGGATTGACCCGTATTTTCCAGACCCTCTCCACTGACCTGGATGACTCACCTTGACTGCACGTTTTTCCGGTGTATCCGGGGAAGCACTTGCATTTGTTGGGGCCAACACACTCTCCGTGCTTGCAGCCGTGGTCGCACTGAGCTGGTAAAAACATTTAATATGAAGAAATTACCCCCAGAAATATCAGTGGTTTTGAGGAGGATGGACTGCAGTCAAACCACACATTCTGTTGTGCAGGAGCGGTTTTTCAATCCCGACTGATGGAAAATACCTCACTGCGCTACGTTCAAATACATTTTCGTCAAAATGCAAAATGTCTGATAACAATGTCATTTCCATTCAGGCCCTTACCCTCACACTGTCCTTTACTGTTTTTCTTCCAGCCATAGCAGCACTCCAGCCTCCTGCCGTAGCGACAAACACCTGGTTGGTTTCCAGTAAGGACTTGTCGATACTGCCTTTGTAGAAGAACAGAGGAGGAGGAGGAACAGGAGGAGAACAAGGAGGTGAGATTGGTAATTCCATGTTCTCAGCAGCACTTTTTTTTTACAACTCCTGAAAAGCACTCTTCTTTGGCATAAATATGTTTTCTAACATCATGCCAGAAAGAAGGAGGACATGTCTCTGAGACAGGGCAACAGACAAACTGGGCCGCACTTTGACCATAATTGCTGGAGTCTTGTCTCATCTGACTCTGGTTACGGGAATCAAATATGAAGCTGTAAAGTTGTGTCTCACTTGGTGCTTAGCAGAGCAGTGTTGCACTTAAAATAACCGCTGTATTCTATATGGAGATTGTACTTTAGCTCAGCTATCAGAATGAAATGTGAAGATGTCTTCTTTTCATGATTTCATTTTCCTTCAACCTTTCTCAATCTCGGCCTGCTAGCCTTCATTTATTTTACCGCTAATTTTTAATTTTCCACCCTAGTTAAAGAGGACTTTAAAGAGTAGAAAAGTACATGTGTTTGTATTTGCACTTAAATACCTACTTCTTGACTTTTTCTTTTCTGCTTACCAATCACACATTCTTCCCCTCTCCTGTCAGTATTGTGAACAGCGTCCCAGCCCTGCCCTGCTCCTTATATTTAAAAAGAAAATCATCCAGCCCATAATGAAGCACTTGTTAGCTCATATTATCAAGGAATTATTTGTATCTATTTAATTTTATACTGATTTCATTTTATTTTAATCTGTCATAGCCCAACATTTGTCAAATTCCTTGTGTTTATAAATGTACTTGGCAGGAATCACTGATTCCGATTCTGGTCCTGATTCTGATGGCAGTAATTGTTGAGGTCCAATGTGAATGTGTAAAGATAGCCTAGCTGAGGGGTAATTGAGGCAGCATTACACTCAAAATAACCTTCTGTACTGTATAAAGATGTCACTGCGCCCTCTACTGTACAGTCAAATATGCATATGTTATATTATATCATTAGACATTGGCACAGTTAAAAAACACACGTGTGTCAGAGTCACACTTCCAACTGCAATTTCAAGCCTTTCAAAAGCATCAATATTTTTCCACCCCGTGCCAGATGTTAGGGTATCGCAGTAGCATCCATCCTAAAAGCAGCCTGGGCTCCAGGGGGGCTGGAGGAATCTGAGACCTGGTAGAAATCCACCAGAATAGCTTGCGGAAGAGGGTCTCTTTAAGTGTGACAGGTGCTCTTCGGTTATTAGCAGTTGCTGCGCCCCATTTAGCTGACACGCCGTCATAGTTCTCATAGTTTGCTCTTGGCAGTGGCAGCGGTGTGGGCATACCTGCAGAACAACACTGTTCTGCTCTAATGATTTAAGGCAAAGATCTGATGTGAAATGACAGGGAAAGTGATCGTTATTTTTAACCTCGGTCGATGATTTTTATAGACGACCTGGACAGTTTCTTATACATCACATCCATGTTTACCAGTTGTTCTATTGATTTTTTTTTTCTCTTTTAGTTTAGTTTACATTAGCTATTGTTTTATTTGTGTTTTGGCTTCAGTCTGTCATCCATTCACGCGTACTAGTTAATATCTCCCTGTCCTTGAATCATAATTTTGTACCATTTCATATTTCACAACAAATCCTTGAATCCTTGAATAGTGGGTCATATTGCATTTAGTCAGTTCTACAGTGGAACATTGTTGATTGTAGTACATTTGTATTGATATTTTTACATAATATTGGTAACTGTTATGTCCTGGTCAGTGGTGTCTTTTAAGGTGGTATGACCTTTATGTAATCACTCACTTGGGTTTGTGTATTTTAGGGTGTATATATTATCTCTAGGTTTACTAAATGTAGTTTGTTTGTCTTTAGTTTAAAATTTTCAAACCATTTTTCCAACTCCCCTTCCAAAGGACCTGCCTTCTGCCGAACAACAGTTAAATAAAAAGTAGTTCCTAATATGTCCTGCCTTAAATAATGGTTAGAATATATGAATAAATAATGAATACAGATGACACGCGCAGCAGACTTTTTGACCAGAAACATTGCATGCAAACTTCATCTCCATCTGTCGTCCCGTCATGCGCGATTCCCTGACTTACCTCTGGGCGTCCGCTCCTCCAGAGGAGATGCAGATGAGCAGGAAAACGCCGCTGATTAAGACAAACGGCTGCATGTCTGTGACCGTGAGCAGGCCGAGTGCTTTGTTTCCCACGAGGCTGACTTTTGTTCCCTGTGTGAGCTCTGACTGTTTCTGCCTTNTGGAGCTGAATGAAGTGCTTAGGAAGCAGCAGGTCTCAGTGGAGTCTTAAAAAACAAAGCACCTCCTATTTCATGTACTTCCACGGCTTCTGGTCTCCTGTTGTGGTGGAAGGCGACGGCTCCTGGCTCAGTGTCGTCGATGCTGCAGCCTCACACTGTGTCCCATAGTCTTCCCACTTCTTCCTAGGTATAAATTCCAGAGGTGGGTTGACACTCTGTTAAATGACACTGCACTGTGAGGGATAGGTTGTGACTTTTGGAGGTAGGAGTGTGTTTGTGCAGAGGGGGTGGGGATTATGTTTTAGGGGTGCTACTCTCCTCACTGAAACCCAACACTGGACCATGTGGAACTTCCTATGAATCAACAGCAGGGAAAAACAACACATAAATGTCAAACGGAGTGTGACATGTTCATCAGGTTTTCTGCATCATCTGAAATAAAGCGAACGTTCACACAGGTGCAGTTTGGTCAAATTACAAACTCCTTGTTGTTTGTAGTTCTCTGATTATTTGCTGCTTCACCTCATTGTTGAACTGTGTGATGCGCAGGTCTGTCATTAACTCAGAGGTGCTCTTTGATGTCTTCCTCACAGAGCTCGGCTCCTCACTCGCACATGCTGTTTTTTTCTTCAGTCGTAAAAAAGAAAAAAAGAAAAGAAAAAAGCTTTAATGAGTCTTTGCACTTTCCGAAGTGGTTCAAACATCTGGTCCAGTTCCTTTTTCACACTCAGGCATAGATGAGAAATCTTTTCTGTGGGAATTTAAGACATTGGTTTACATGAATGTTCTGGTCAGGAAGCATAAATGTTGGTAAATATTGGATGTGTCTCATTTGATTTTATGGCATTGGATCGACCGTCAGTCTCCTTGAGGCTAAGACTTATCCTAGTAGCTTTGGCATTTGTATGAAAACTTCTAAACAGAGTAAAAAATGTATTCGACATATCAGTTTTATTGCTCGATGTTTTGAAAATAAATAGCCTAGGAAGCAGAGAAGAAGAGTCTGGGGAAGAATGTAGCAGTGCATGATTTTAAAAAAGAAACCTTTACTCTACAGCAAAAAGGATCAGCACTTTGAGCTCTCACATTCAAATGTATGCCTGTTCAGGTCAAATGGCCACAGGTCACAGGTTGCAGACCCTTGTTCTAGAGTGAAACCCACCTTTGCAGTGTGGCTGCTGAGATAGCTGTCAATAGTTCTAGCTGTAGAAAATAAATGAATTGGCAGGATTTGATCAGAAATATTATTCTAAGGTGAAATATGAATGTTCTGAATGAAGACTACTCCGGACTTCACTTTGTCCTCACAGCCTGACAAAGACTCCCAGACCCCCACTCTTCTCTGTGTCCTCGTCCTCGACCGTAACCCTAACTCTAAAGTGACTGACATCTCAGGCATGCGGGTCACTATACGTTAAAGCTGCGTGTTGACTGTGAGCGGAAACGAAAGTACAAAAATAAGTGCAGTGTGAAGGCCATGAAGACGTTACTGTCACAACAACAGCGCCCTCATCTGGCTTGGGACATGTCTGACACTGCCAATCTACCTTCACATACTGAATGTGTTTGTGTTTTACACAAATGTTGAGCTAATGTTGAGTTTGACTTTATTGTAGGGTGCTCTGGTATAATTGTTTTTAATTGTCCCTCCCTGCTAATTTACACATTGTTTATTTAAATAATTGGGAAATTGAGAAAAAGCATATTAATAATCAGAACAATAAAAAAAACAACTTATTAGGAACAAGGGAAACATAAATGAATTAAATCATTTATATTCCATAAAATATTTTTTAAATCACAGCATTATTATTAACAATATAAAAATAATAATAATCATTATTATTATTTTTTATATGTGATGATGATGATGATGATAGCAATAATAACATTGAGGACAAAACATTTTATTGGGTGTACCCATCATACTGCATAATTTTTCAACTAATTACTTTTTCGGTAACATTTCTACCCACTAGGTGGTGACATTGTTCACCGTTTGTAAGTATCAAGTCGTCGAAGTTGTAGACAAAAGGTACCGTAGTGTTCTTACATCCTCTGTCTGTAATCATCTCATGTTAAACCGTTTTTCTGGTAGTGGAACGTGATCCACGACGTGCTTTGATGTGCTCTGCTGACATCTGAGGTCAGAGATTTCAGCTGCGTGTTGGTGAAAATTCACCAGCGGCTGTGATTTACTCGGTGCTTTGTCACCTTTTCTGGCAGCTGGGGTCAAACGTGTCTGGATATCAGTTTTCAGCTACTGGAAAAGGCAGTCCATCCTGAATGAGTGTATTCAGAGAATGTGGCTGCTGATTGGTTGATAAGTTCACATTGCAGTTTCCTGAGTGTTTTATCCTCAGCATGAGAACAGCTTTGGCTTTGTCATTGTAGTGTACAGTATTGGAGTAGATGGCGCTAAATACCACGTTTTGTCCTCCTTGTGTCCCACCTCAGTCTGGGACATGTCTGTATTTGTTTCCATTTTACTTCAGTTAGTACTACATTTGCAGACGTGATGTAAAAATAAGGGAATAGATAATGTTGAGTTAATGTATAAAGTGCAGTTGAAGTGGCCTGTGACACTGACCCAGTCCTGTCTGTCTGGTACACTGAGCAATACTTTGACTATAAAAGGAAAGACGAGCTGTTGATGAAGTATTTCGAACGGATGTGTGTACACGACCACATCCTGCCCTGGGTGTCATGACATGAGCAGTATATGCTCAGCAGAGAACACCAACGGTGATACGAGTGAGCCACTGCTCAATCAAAAACTGTGTCAAATGTGACAGCTCTGTGTGAGTCTGCATGGTTAGAATTACAGCTTTTGTCATGAATTCCCCGACCAACATAATGATGCGTTACTTTTGCGTGCGTCTCTGCAGTGAGGGAGTTGTCACTTCCTCTCCTGTCGTATGGACATTGAGAAACATTTTATATTTAGTTGAATGTGTGCAATGCTAACGGGAGCATCCGTCAGAGAGCTCCACTGCAGAGCAAAAGAGGATCCGTCAGATTAGCTAACAGACTGATTGTAAACATGCTGCACAGACACGTGACCAGACACTGGGCTCATGAGACGAGGCCATGGGCAATGCTGTTCTCACAACCATATTTTAAGAATAGTTTTTTTTTTATTTATTTATAAGATGAGATACATGCCGAGTGAGTAAATAACAAGCACTCATCGTAGTTTTTTTTTAAAAATAGAACTAAAGGACACAGTAGTACTTTAACACTTGACTTTATATTAAGGTGGTCTGATCTAATAACCTTCCATGTATGAACTTTTCATCAGCTTTTCCAACATAGAAGAATAATAAAAATAAGAAGAATAATAATTAGTAAATTAAACTTCTGTTTTGGCATGAAATGCTCTGAGTATTTTGAAATACTCAGCTTAAAATACCATTATATATACACATATATGTACCATTATTCATAATGGTACATTATGTGAGTATTCAGTATTTAGTATGTCATACTGAATACCTACTATATATATATATATATATATATATATATACATACAATGTATATGTATATGTATATATATAAATATATATATCATTAGCTATAGTGTGTATACCATTAGATCTATTTTTAGCATATTTCCCCAGAAGGGATACAAATGTATTTCATAGTCATGTTCTTTCTCAACAATAGGAACAATGTCTGCAATGTCTCCGGTTGTAGCTGAGACCTTCGGGCACTAACTATATCTTTCGCAGTTGAAAATACTCATTTGCAACAGAGTTAGTTGGAAATAGAAAAGTATGATTGAACACGACAGAGGACCTTAAGTGCAGTTTTCTTTCCAGCACTCCAGGATGCATTTACTGCACAGGTTAGAAGCCTCTCTTCTCTCCTGCTCTACTTCCCTCTCGATCTATTCTGAATCTGATACCACAGCTCCTTCAGCCACTTTGTCTCTATTGTATGTGTGGAATACATTGACATGTTGTAGTCTCCAACAGAGGTCTGTTTAAAGACATAAACAATGTGAATTCAGGTTCTATTTTCAGGCTCTCTCTGGTCCTTTATGGTCATTTTATAACCTTGTCCTCCCAGTGACCTGAGCGACCTCTCCTCTGCTCCGTACGGAGGAGATCTCCTCAGTCCAGGTGCTTCTCCTTAAACATCTGCTGCTGGCAGATTACACAATGACTAAGTGCTGCTAAGTGGAGTAACCAGAGAGTAAAAACCTTGGGGGATTCAGGTGATGTGTAGGATTACACAGGGAGCTTCACCCTGTCAGTGTGACTGGTGTGGTCGACTGGATGTAGCCTTTGGACACTCCACGTTTGGTTCATTATTCATTATTATTGCCGACTGCTGTGGAGAAAAATGGCCGTCTTTGGAGTTGATGTGTTGCCGGCAGATTTTTAATTAATGGACTTTTGTCTAGTCAGAGATTTCTTTTTTGACTTGTTCAGCCATTTCCTTTACATATAGAAAATGCCATTTACATCAGCGGCCCCTTTATTGTACCAAGGACTGGTCATCCAGTATCGATCTTAGAAGGGTCGTTAAAAGAAATGTTAAGAATCTGTACATTTTTTACGTAAAAAAAAAAAGTAGGCTTAATTCTGTTAGTATTCAAATCTGAAGTTAATTAAGTTTAGTAAAATTATTTTACTGTGGCCCGGTACCGAATGACCCACAAACGGCACCAGGGACCTCGGACCAGGGTTTGGGAACCACAGGTTAATGTGATGAAACTGAACAAATTTGTTGCTTTGTTTACTCCTGTACCATGTACTGACCTACAGTATGTAGTACATGTAGTAGATACAGTATGTGTGGTGTAAGGAGTAAATATCTGTTATTTTTGCAACAATTTATTAAAAAGTAAATTCAAAATATTTTTTATGCCAAAACAGATGTACAAACATATTTGGCCATTAAAGCCCAACTATAAACACAGTTCATACAACACTACACACACACCTTTAAAAATCAGTAGAGGATTATTGCTTAATATTGTATAGTCACCATCCACCATTACACTTTACAAGTCTGCAGTGCGTCCTCGTCCTACACGTTATGAAACATTTGACATTTGTTTCGACTCCAGTGTCTCATGTTGGCGTGTCGTGTCACACTTCCTCTTTGCACTTCCTGCTGCTCAGCTATATCTTCATATATGTATTTCTGTCCATCCTCTTTTATCAACCCTCATTTCACACATGGTTTTTTTTTTAAATGCTCTCTGCACAGTTGTTTCTAAAGGGACAGTCATACTTTTAAATACTTAGAAATAACTAATTCTCATTTTCACACTTTCTTCTTTTGTATGAAAACATCTCCTTTAGTGATTGGCCGTTTTTGACGCCAGACTCAAAGAAAAGAAACAAGTCAAGGTGTGTTCTTAATGCTTCTTTACCCTGCTGGCTATAATTACATAACTATGCATCTAAGAAGGAACTCCACCCCGCCTCAGTGCAGTGCATGTAAACGACATACCTAACAGGACAAGACATGTCATGCTCCTTTATGCTGAGTTTGTTGGCAGCTAAAGAAATCCCCAAAATAATATGTACTGTGTTTTGGAGTTCACAGAAAAGATAACTAAAAAAAAAAAAAAACCCAGAGAGAGCCAAAAAGGACCTGGAGACTATGTGCTTTTGTCTCCCTCCCTATAGGCTGCAAATCTCAACAGACAAGTTTTACCTGATGCATATTTGCATATACCTTCTGAATACCTGAAGTCAGAGAAAAAATAGCAGTAGTAATTGTTTTTTTTCTCTTCTTCTGCACAATTGCATTACTTTTTGCAGACAAGCACATTTCCATGATGTTTTCTACTGCACATTCACACAGCCAAAGTGAACACATGTAGAGTAATATGACTGTAGCAGTACAGGCAGGCGAGTACATTCCTCAGGCAGTTTAAATCATGTGTTTCATCCACCTGGTTTGCTGTTCCTGTTTTTAGAGCTCACTTCATCTTGCTCTGCTGCGTATGTATGATAAAGCCAGGTCACAACATCCTGTTCACTGGAAACCTGGCTTATGTTCCTCATCGGCCACTGATGCTGACCGTTTAGCCACTTTATATTGGTGATCATAAAAGTTGCAAATGTCAAACTCTTTGCATGCACTTTGACCTCCTGATGATGTCACAATGTGCACACCAGATTGAGGTTAAAAAAATAGGGCTCTCATACTTATTTGAGTTGGTATTTTTCTTGAATTTGTGATTAACCACAATTAATCGTGATTAATCGTGAATTAAATCAGCATAAACCTTTGCATCATTTGACAGTCTAAATATACAGATATACAGACATTTTTAAAAAAACAATTCCCACACAAAATCAACAAGGACGATAAATATTTATGCGAAGAACAATTTTGCTTTCTTTTTTAAAAGCACATTTTCACTGCAGGTTTAACGGCGCAGCCACTCTGACTTTTTGCTCATGCTCTGAACCAGGGCGCCACTTTAACCACATCCTCTTACACATCAATGAAACTTCTGTGTTTTGACATATACTCCCAACAAGCTGCTGCTTTCAGAACTGTAAATCCACCACCATATGATGCCAAAATAGACTCAGCTAATGACAAAGTGTTTCACCGAACAAAATTCATCTGGTGGTACGATTGGTACGGATTGGTTAAGTGTGTATCGGGTTTGTTCTATTAAGTCTCGTGTGTTTAAAAAGCAGCTTTAAATAAAGTTAGTTCGTCATCTTTAGTTGAGCTGTACTTCTGTGTCTGTCTGTGTCTGATAACAAACAACAATATGCATTCGACCAACCACACAGCATGTTTCATAGAGAACTATCATAATTGCAGTTGCACAAGATTAGAATACTTCAACTCTGACCGAACTGTAAACAGATGGCTACTTTAACAGGGAACTAGTTCGTGCTCTTGGCTGCATGAGGTTCTCAGCATTATGCTGCAAAACCTGTCACTCTCCAGAAGTTAGATTTATTAAGTTAAAAAGTTAAAAAGCGGTTTTTACCCATGTTTGCATTGAATTCTGGTTAGACCTCAACATTTTGAAACCAGATTACATCAGCGCTCTGATACATTCACACTGGAGCCCAGCACAGGTTAAAGGTTCCGCTGTCGACCATACCTAGACCATTAGCAGTGCAGGCGGCCCTGTTGTTGACTCCCTCTCGTATTCACACAATAGTTGTTTTGTTGAGTAAAAATGTCAAGTATTATGTTTGGCTGCACAGTGTGAACAACAGCATTTTAAACAATTTCCACAGGAGTGTCCAGTTTCTTGAGTGTCACATAACCCTGAGGTTATTCCCAGGAGGGTTAACTTTTAACCCTTTATTTGAATATTAGCGTTTCCCCAGTGACACCTGACAGAAGCTGTAGGTAACAAAACACAAAAGACGCCAAATGAAATCAAGAAAAATAGATTAGGTTTTTTTTTTCATTCATTTTTTTGTGCTTTTGTTTGAACAACATGATACACTGACAATAATTGCATGAATTACATGTGTTCTTCAACACAGCAGTGTCTGATGTGTGAAAACCTGAAATCTTCTGTCTGCTGCCATGGAAACAGAGTCTGTGAAGGGTGGACTGGTTGCTCAGGTTTTAGATTGAATAGGAGGAGGAAACAGGGTGGAAGCCAGAGATGAGCCTCACCGTTGACATGTTCTGTTACTTCTTAAATAATACCTAAGGTGCGTTTGTCTGGTTTTAAACAGTGATTTTGGACAATTTCTCACATTGTGATTATTATAATTGGTGATATGTGACCGGTTTTGTTTACACGTGACACACGATTATACCCTTTTCATTGGGATTAGCCAGTCTAATTAACGATATGATACATTTACGCATATTACAAACTACTGATAAAACCATCATTGAAGACTTTTTAATAAAATCCTAACACATGAAAATTGACAAACAACATGTCATGGCTTTATTTTCGTACAACTTGTGAACAGAAAAGTCTAAATTAGCATCACTAGCATGGTTAGCATGTGTCTCGTGGCACAAGAACATTAGTGGTTTGTTTGATACTTGGTCTTTCTGAATGGAGTTTTCATCTCCAAACTAGTTTGAAACTACTTCTCTATTTCCTCCCATGATTTGAAAACATACAGGATGAGATTAATTAGATTTAGTTATACGTGTGAAACATTGTTTGTTGTGTAATTGTTTGCTAAACAAACCTCACCTGATGACTACTGGGATTGTCTTTTGCCCTCCGTGAACCTGAAAATAACTTAGCTACAGAAAAGGAAAGAATCATAAATAACTTTACAAAAAAATTGTTTAATAAAGATGTATAGTGTTGTTCACAAATTGTCGCAGCCCGAAACTATTTAAAGACGATGTGCTTCTATTCCATTAATTATGGTTGGAGCCTTTAGTGGAGCAATAAGGAGGCTCTGTAATGGTTTGGAGCTGCTTTTCTTAAAAAAACTGTACCAGTAAAAAAAACACTGATTGGTTCACGTTTGACTTCTTAAGGCCTTCATGGCGCCGGTTATACTCCTAAGAAACCTGCTTTAGCTTAGAGCCGTGTTCTTACACCTGCTTATTTGTTGCCACTGACGGGCATTCTTAGACACATAACAATTAAAAGCAACAGCAGTTGATGTCATTTGTAGTCGCACATTGCATAAATGATTGTGTTAATGAGTGGAGCTCCAGTGGGTGGGGGTGAGGAGGGTCCTCTCTCCTCCGTCTGGTAAAAGGACCACACTAGAGTGTAGCCTCGTGAGACAGAGAATGAATGTGAAATTGTTCCAGTCCCTTACAGCGGCCTGTTGTTACAGCACAGCTGTATCGTTCTACTGTACAGACACATTGCAGTTACATAATCTCCCTTTCTCCTCCCCCTTTTTCATGAGGTACAGCTGTCTGCTCTGTGCAACAGAACAAAGCCCCCTCCCAGCCCCCTTACTCCGAGGCAGTTGCATCAGGAGATGGTGCTAACACAGTCTTTAATACTGATGGTAATTTCACTACATAACTCACTCCCAACAGCAAAATAACACAACGTGCACTCTGTTCACACTGCACCATAGCCTGAAGCACCTATGTGAATGCTTGTGAAAACCAGGGTCTGGTTTCTTTAGACACAGAGGTTCTTTGTCATTTCACCATTATGGCTTTTCAGAGTTTCTAAATGTTATCATTTCAAGGTCTGACTAAACTAGCCAGTGCTGATCAGAAGGTGTGAACAGGAGTTATGCAATTTCCTATATGGAAGAGGAATAAAAGGTGTATGTTCAAGAGCAGGTATCGTGTTTTTTTTGTCAACACAATACAAGGGAGCAAGGGTTTTCCTCTAATGCTGTTATAATTTATGTTGATTCTCCTTAAAGATAAATGAAAAAAAAAAAGTAAGAATGTCATCTAATGTCATCTAATAACCAGTTGCTTTTAATTAAGGCATTTGTAGCATGAGGCTAAAGTGTTGGTGCTAGAAGTGCACAATTTGTGGCAGAACATGGCCCAGCTGCAGCTACAGGTCCAGTCAAATTGAACAGGTAAAGTTTTTAGTTTTTACTTTTTTGGCTACTAAACCTGTAGTTTCCAGTCAACCATTCATACAGTGTAATAATCACCCAGAGCCTCATGTCAAGTTACATTTTATTTTGCATATTTAAACTTGTGCACTCCAGTTTAAGTTCTTTACAAAAGAAACTGATTTGTGAGTATAAACAGGTGGTGAATAGGAGTAGAGCTACAGGTAACATTTGTAGCTTGTCCTGTTTACTTTAGACACGCAAAACTGTCACCCAAAGCAGAGGAAACTTAACCAGGAACTGGTGCAGACATGGAGACCACACTTCCTCCTTGTACGGAGGACATCTTGCCAAGTGAGTGATGTGCATTTGTACAGTCACAACTTCAGAACTGCCATCTCAAAACACTTTGCTGGAAGGTTCCAAAAGAAGGGGATGCAGGGAGGGGCTGGAGAAGTGGAGTGCATGGCACACGGGTGGAGGGGGGCTTCAGGCCGTCTTCTCCTGCTCGATGACTGTGAGAAGAGAAGAACTAGCGTTAGATTAAGGTTTGTGCAATTATTGTTTTTTGAAAGAACTAGCGTTAGATTAAGGTTTGTGTAATTATTGTTTTTTTAAAGGGTGTTAGAGTTGAGTGGTTCTTACTCTCTTTGGTGGGCAGTGTGTTTTTCTCCTGTGTTTCAGTCTTCTTCAGCTTGGTCTTGTCAAAACCAGCGACTTCCGTGAGGTCCACTTTGTCACCCATAATTACAAAGGCTCTATGGAAGGAGAGGGAAAAAAACAAAAAAACAAAAACCTTTAATTCCTTGAACATTTAGCAAAACTTTGAGGAAGCTTGATTAGACAATCGTAAGAAGCCAGCCTTCACGCATGGCTTTTGTCTGATGTAGCCCATGTGCTGCACTGTGAAGGACCACCGCCCTTTTGTCAAACTACCTTAGCTTCAGCTCACGATCTGCCCCACGCTTCCGCCGACAATCAGCCCGAGATTGTAGATGGGACGTGCGCAGTGCATTTAAAAACTATGCATGTCTATTGGACTGTGTGGTACCACCATGCATCACGCAAAACTAACTGTGTGTCATGCAAATACGTGGTTCTGAATAGGTTGGACCTGTGCCTTTTTTAAAACCATCTACTTCGTCACCATGCAGCAAATCTCGTTTTTTTTCTCTCAGCAGCACAGCGTGCACTATACAACATGATTTAAGCCAAATATGGAAAACCAGAAAAGCATATTCACTCACCGGCGTTCGGATCAGCGATGTGACGGTACAAAGGCTGTGTTGCTGCAGCTGAGTGATGCTCGCTACGCCGCTCCCTCAATAAATACCTCACCATATGCAAATGATCCGTCTGACGCCACGCCCACTTCCTGAAATCCCAGCTCGCGTAAAAACAAATATCATAAAAGCATAACAACACGTACCACCAAAACAAAACACATCCCTAGTGCAAAATACAACGGTTATTTTATTTTATTATTTTATATATAACAGCATTGAAATGAAAAGTGAAATATTTTACTTTGCTAAATTGTATCAGATTAGGGTAATTTAGAAATAATCTACATCAGATCGTGTGACCGAAATCCTTCTGTTGACTTTCCTTCACCTTTTTCACACGACAAAAAGAAGACCGACAAGAACAATTCAGTGCCGTTGCCCTAATTTCAAGAAAACGAATTGTTATTGACATCTTGTGGACATATTAAGTAATAACAGAAGAACGACAGCACAAAGAATGGATATTGTAATGATAAATACAATATTACTATATGCAATAACAATTTATATACATAAATGTATTAATTAGGAAATGTTTGTTCGAAGATAAAAGTAAATTTTAATCAATTTTTTAACAACAGAATAATAATACAAATGGAAGAAAAAGGTTAAAAAAAATTCGTAGATTGGAAATAAAAGAATGTAACTGTTATTGTATTAAGAGTACACTTTCCCGTAATAATCATCATCATCATTGTCCAGTCATTTCAAACAGGAAACGGACCTATTCACTTCCTTCACACGTTGTCTTACTGCAGGGATACTGCCCCCAAGTGTTGTCATAAAAAAACACCGTTTGCATCGAAACTCCACTGAACACTTCTACAAAACATTACCACAAAATTCACATAATCTCCAAAACTAAAAACCGCTAAGTTAAAATTTAAAATTAAATGTAATAATTTAAAGTTGTTAATGTGCGATTTATGTAGCACAGGCATTGGCTCGTCACCGTTTGATTGACAGCTAGCACTAACGTTTGTCCACCAATAGGCAATCACCCAATGTAGTCCTTTTTTGGGAGAAAACATTTCGGCCCAGTCACAGGATTTGAATAGTTAAAAAAAAAAAAAAAAGTCAATAATGTTCGACCAACATTCTGAATTCATGAACCAGGGAGATTTAACCAGCAATTACTAACATACATGACAACATTTAAACTGCTGTGAAAACCTTCCAGTTCATGTTATTAATTATGTTTTGCAGTTCAATTTTACATGTTATTATTCTATATTATTATTATTATTATAAATATCACCTTTTAACTAGTAACTAGTTTAAAAGAAACCCTAAAAGAAATACTCCCAGACAGCTGTCACTAAGTCCCCAGCCTCACCTGCTGCTAAAGTATTTTGAATATGTTTTGTTGCACACGAAGCGATTATCCACTCGGACCACATTCCTCAGGTTTTGCCAGAACCAGGGCTGTGCAGCTGCTGTCTTTGGCCACTCTATAACACTCTTCTCATAGAGTCTCCTCCTCAGCCGGAGGAAGTGAGAGTGCTGCAGGACAGGTTCCAGCATCAGCAGAACAATCACGTCCACATTTTCATCCAGCAGTCGCTGGTGTGCCAGATAAATGGCCAGCTTGAAAACCCCCGTCTTGACGTAGTCCTTCGTCAGGACGAAAAGAGTCTTGCGGCTGTATCGGATGCTGTGGCTG